CTCTCGGCGGAAGAAATTTAAACGCGATCCATCAACGTCGAAAACTCGGCGTTCGAAACGCCGCCGCCGCCGTTTTTATATTACGGCGGGGCGGACGGCGGTGCGCCGAAACGGTTTTACGGGTCGCGCGCCCGCTAATAGCCCGCGGGTGCCCGCGGGTTAGTGGTCGGTGGGGGGAGGGGGGAGGAGGGGTGGCCGACGGGTGGACGGAGGGTGTGTGCGACGGATATATTTCGTAAACGTTCCGTTTGTGCCGCCGATAACGTCGCGACAGGTGCGGCGACGCGACGTTATTATTATTTTCGCAGCCCGTAATTCGTTTTTAATCGGTCCGAACAACTTCGACGGCGGCCCGTCGCCGGCGCCGCCGTACGCCGGTTGCCGCGCGGTCGGGTCGCGGTCATTAGCGGCGCGCGGCGGTAACGAGCGCGCGCGTGCGAGCTGTTATTTTCGTGTTAGGCGCGGTGCGGAAGAGACGCGGCCGCGGAGGGGCGGTCGGGGAAACGTCGCGGTACGTACGCCCGCGCGACAAAACCGGAACACCGGGACGGCGCGTGACGCGTAGATATCGGAAACGTCGGCGTTTCGGCGTTTTGTTTTTTTTCTTTTTCACCTCCTCGCGAACGGCGAAACGGCGCCGTAAAACCGCCGTCGGATCCGTTTCCCGTCCCCGCCCCCCCGTCCCCCTCGTCGTCGCACGGCGAAGTGAAAGCCGTCCGTTTGGACACCGAAGACGGCGACGACGACACGTACCGCGCGTATGCGGAACGACAATAAACGAAAAGAAAAAAAAAATTTAATATTACCGCGGAAGGACGACGACGACCCGCGCGATATTCTTCCCCGTTTCTCGTGTATGACGACTGTCGAAAATACCCGCGGCCTACCCGCCAACGAGTTTCGACGGGAAAACTCGACGGCGACGTCGCTAGTTCCTCGATTGGCGATGATAACGCTTGAGCCGCCTGGAACACGACGGGTACAAGCGACGTTCGAAAAAAATCATCGTCGAGCGCGCAGCTGGACTGTACGCGTTTTCGATTTTATCTCACGCTAATGAAATACAAGTGGATTGTTCGTCGCGAGCCGCGGTCTAGTCTACAAGCCGAAACGCCATAACAAAAATGGAAGTGAATAGAGGTACAAGCGTCCACAACGGCCGTGAACGCGGTTGCGTCTGTTTGCTGTCACGTGTCTAAAACACCTTGTTTCTATCGTTCGAAAACACAAGAACGGTGACGTACCGATGACACGCTGTACGAAATCGTATTGACTGTGCGAAATCGATAAAATTTGACTCGTGCCCGTTGCGTTCTGGGCGCCTCAATTATAATATTACGGTGATCGCCGTTGGACATTTACAATATCGTCGGCGCTCGTTTTCGCGTTTTTGTCGTTTACGGCGGTCGTTTATTTTGTTTTTATTTATATTTTTTTCAACGGCCCGTGCCCCGAGCGATTGGGATAAACGACCCGTGTAAAGACCGGTAAAACGTCGGTACACGTAAAGCATACGGGCGACGGGTTATCGCGAACGATTAAAAACAAAAAAAAAAAAACACCGCTAAATAGCCACGAAATACTTCGCGCGCCGTTAGTGCCGTTTGGGCGGTTCCCAATTGTACACGGCGGTCGAACCCGTTCGGCTCGAACTTTATCGACTCGGTATCGCCGATACGGTCACACGAACTTTCGGCCCCCCCTCCCTCCCTACCGGAATTTCCCGTGTAAAAGCCGTGTAAACGAATCCGCGTTCAACTCGAGTGTTTCGCGGGGATAACTATGCACGTTCACTTGTTACCTGTCCGGCAGCGAAGCCGACGTCACGGTTACCGGCGCGGTTTACACGACCGGTGTTGTAAGTTATCATCAGGGAAAATGGACGGACGGCGTCCGTTCGCGCGCGCGGACTGCAGAGCGATCTGCCGGCGGCGGTCTGGCGCGGCGCGTTAATTGCCGCCGCGGGTTTCGTGTGGAAGAAGCGCGACCGTCGGGGGGGGGAGGAGAGGAAATCGCCGAACAATACGGTACGCAATCGTATCGGCACTACGGCGATCTCTCGTTATTGTTGCCGCGGCCGCTGATTACGAATCGAAAAATCCGTGATGAACGGGCCGGGTACTCTCCGAGGATACCGTGCCGCGTATTGTTGCCGACAATGTCGCGTGCAATTTCACTATTCTCTCCACGGAGCGACCCGTAGATGTTATTATTGTTTGCGGGCGGACACCTATACGGACGGTAATAATACGATATCTGTGTACGCGCGTGCGTGCGCGCGCGATAATGTGTACCGAAGACGCCGACAACAATGCTCGATAAAAGAGAAAAAAAAAAAATAAACAAAAAACCACCACGTAACGGTCCTAAATTTACATATCGCGATCGTTATGACAATCGCCGTGTACAATAATAACAGTACGCGCGCGCGCGTTATGCGTCACTATTGTTGCGCGCGCGGACCGTTTCGCCGGTCGAGTGCGTACCGTCCGACGACAAGCCCGCGACGCTGCGGATGCGCGTATCCGATGCGTATTGTTGCGGGGATACTCTCTCTCTCTCTCTCTCTCTCTCACACACACACACACACTGTCTCTCTCTATCCGCGCGTTTATTCCGATCGTCGAATCGAACGAGACGTATCCGCCCGTGCCTGTAAACGCGTACGGCAACAAACTTTCATTTTCAAAACGCGTAATAACAATTCATTTGCGCGAGTCACGCCGTACGTCTTGCTCTCGATATCTCGACGTAATACGATATCATTATTACGATTATTACTATTACTACTACTACTACTACTACTATATATGTATAGACGCGGTGATCGAAAACCGCGGTTGTAACGGAGAGAAAAAAAAACCGCACGCTCGAAAACATTCGAAACGTGTCCGCGGACGGATCGGAAATCTCGACGACGTGTCGAGAACGCGCGTCACTACAGAAACGACATCCGCGATCTCAGGAGCGGGTCTCTGCGAACGGTTTCGATCGGCTTAACGACAATCGGAAAACGACGAAATCCGTGTGGTAACGTTCCGTTTTTCCGGCCCCCGTCCATTCTCCGGTGGGGAGGGGGCAAAAGAAAAAACACCCCATCCCCTCGCACACGACGCGCGCGCTAGACTGGGAATTCTCGTGCGGAAAACGGAAACGTACGGAGACGGATTCTCGGATCGGACCTCCGCGGGCCGATGTCGCGACGGCAATAATTGCTTACGGCAATCGTGTTTCGTACGGGCGGGCGTGTCGTCCGTTTTCCGGGACCGCGGGAACACAACGCCCCGTAAAACGCGCTCGGAAAAAGAAAAACTATACCGAAAACAAACTAGACAAAAAAAAAAAAAAAAAACAACGCGCGCGCGACCGGCCGCAGAGCTCTGTGGCTCTCACAGAATCGCACAGAGTCGGATTCTCGCCCGACCTCTGTTTTGCGTGTTTTTTGTTGTTGTTGTTGTTCTTCTCAAAACGATAAATTACCGAACGCGCTAACGGCACGACATCGTACAACGTGCTAACGATTTGATGCGCGAAAAAAAAAAACAAACTAGTGAAAATTTCAGTGTAACGAATCGTTTTTTTTTCCACGACAAACCGGATTCGTTCGAAAAACCCGCGAACGCACGGTGAAATCCGTTTACTACGGCGCGGTGTTCGCCGTAGCTCGTGCGCGAACGTACAGGGAGCGCGAAGGACCGGAATGTCGAAGACCGCGTATTGAAAACCGTATTTTCGTGACCCCGGTGCCGCGACAGTCGTCCCGAGCGATCGGAGGTCCGAAGTCGAACTGGGCGTCGCGTCTCGGAAATCTCGTCCACGGTCGGAAAAATCCGCGGGTCGCCCGTTATACACGAGGACAAATACGTTCGTCGCTAACGCGCCCGGCCGCGGCCCACACGGGCCCGCCGATGTGTCTCCGGCGCGCAGACGCGGGTCTCGAAAGGAATCACTCTGGAAACACGAACCGCTTTGTCGACCCCCCCCACACCCTCTCCGGCGGACCACGGCGACGGCACCCGAATCGCCCGGACGGCGGGACGATGAGATCGCGGCCCTTTCTAGCGGCCGGCGCGCGTTTCGACCGTACGGCGCGGTATTGCCGTCAGGCGCGGGTGTTCGGGAGTCCGGGACCGGACGGCGGCCGTAACGCGACGCACGCAATAACACGCGGGGCGCGGGCACGCCGTGTACGCGGGGCGCGGTAATATCGTTACCGTCGTTGTATCGTAACGCCGGCGCCCCGCGAACTGATTGGCGTAATCCGACCCGGCATCCGGCGCGATTAGTCCGGGCCGCGGACCGTACGCGTTCATCGCGCGCCCGGTCCCCGCGTAACGGCGTTGCGCTGCGTTACCGCGACCGGGCCGTCGTCGGCGGCGGTATAACGGCCGTCCGACGACCGCGCCGCGGGTCCGTTTTGTTTTGTCGTCAACGGTTTCCGTGTTTTCGAATGGCCGTTCGATTGTTATCGCGCACTGTCGGCGTCGCCGCCGAACGTGACCGGGGGCCGCGTGCGAGACCCGCCGTCCCGACGTTTCGTTTTCGTCATCGTGCGATAATAACTCTCGTCCGACCGCGTTACGGATCGCGGTTTGTTGCTGTCGTCGTCGCTGTTACCTCCTGTGAAACCGGCGATCACGACGACGGCAACAGGTCATGACGCCGCGGCGTCGAGGTTCGTGCGCGGACGTCACGGACGCCGGGAGAGCCCGAGAAGAACCCGCGCGGCGGGAAAAACGCGGACCGCGGCGGTCGTCGCGGCCGGTGCGCGACTCTCGCCCGGCGCGCACGTCGTCGCGTCGCGAAACTCGTAACGACAAAACTCTACTCGCGGGGGGGAAAGTCGTTCAATCCCGAAACAACACCGTCCTCGCGGAGAAAATGCGATCCGGAAACGATATTGCGCGCTCATTGCCGACCGCGTGCGCCGGATGCGTGTGTTTTTTTTTTTTTTTTTCTAATCGACCGGTGCGCGCGCGTGTTACGGCGGCGAAACGCTAATGCGCGGAATACTCGTGCCGCGGCATTGTCGGCGAGAAGATTCCCGGGACTTACTCCGCACACGTTTGTCGGTACGGACCGGCGCGCCGACAGATTTTCTGCCCGGTTCACTGCCGGCAGACGCCGATTGCTTTTCACCGGCCGTTCGATATCCGACGACGGAAATCACCGTATCCGCACCCTCACTAGGACCTCCTGGTACTACCCGTACTCGCTCGTCACTCATCCGATTAAAACTCGGAACGTCCCGAAACCGCCGTCCAAAATAAATTATCATTATCCACAGCATTTTACGAAATACCCGTTAGTTCCGTAAAAATGATGTACACAACAACGACAATGGAATCGAATCGTATGTGTGTACCACTCGATGGCCACGGGCACCCCGGAATCGACTCGTACACGGCCGTACGCGGATCAGGTGGAATTTTCAATAGGACGCGGCCCGAGTGCGGTTGAACGGAAAACGACGATCCGCGGATAGACCGTGTGGAATTGTATATGCGCGTTCCGTCGCATTGTCCGACGGCGGTCCGTAAAGGCCGATTTTCCTGCTGTAGCTCGGCTAAGACAAATTATATTTCGAGACGAAATCAGAAACGTTCCGGAAATCACGTTTACGAGAACGCGCAAGGGCCGCGAAGAAGGATTTTCCTCCGCGAGAAATTCTAAAACGGATTTCGTTCGTGCGGTTCGCCGAGAAAATTCAAACCCGCCGTTAGAGTTTAACGTTCTGGCCGTTATGCGGAATCGTCTCTTCCGAACGTTCCGGAGTTGCGGACCGTGCGAGTTTCGACACCGACGCGCGGGAGACATTTGCGTTTTAACAGTACGGTCGAAACGAACACACGTACGAGTAACATCGTAACCACGACGTTACCGTTACCGTTACCGACCAAACGCACGCCGTAACGCGCGCGTACCGCGGCGACGGTTACGGCCCGACGCCGAAACGATCCATTTCACTTTCACCGTTATAACACACGCACAACGATACCGTGGCCGCGCGCCGTTTACGGATTATCATTATCGTTGTTATTATCCGATCCGGATCGTGGCGTATGCGTTGCGATGCACCCGCGCGATCCCGAACGTATTCAACGACGACGATGGACGCAACAATAACAATAAGAAGAACGTAATTAGCGGCGCGGCGCGAGATCGCGTCGAGACGCGCCGCGGCCTTCCCGGCGAACGGAATAATCGAGACGGGAGAGAGAGAGGAGAAAAAAAAATAAAAAAACCGCCGAGACCGTTCACCCGGTTCCCACGGGACGGAGACGCGCGACTTCCTGTTGAACATTCGTTTCGTTTTGCGTTTCTGTTGCGCGGCCGGCCGTTTCCCGAAGGCTCGACGATTGTATTATACCGCGTGAAAGTTTAGCGGCCGCGGCGAAAGTCCGGAAAACCCGGAGAAACGACGGGTGCCGCACTCGGGGGTTGTCGCGGGCCCCTCCCCCCGTATTCCGTGTGTATATTACGATGATGTAGACCCTTTTCTGAAAGGATTTTTTTTGCCGGGGGTGGTACTTTAGGGACGTTCGTTTTCGATTTTCTCGCGAGCTTTCTCGTCGAATGCGAAAAGCCGGACAGAACCGAGGAACAACCGGGGGGCCGACGAGGCCCTCAAGAGCGGCGAATACAACGGAAAACCGACGACCGCCTCGGCACGACGGCCGGAAAGTGCGAGCTTTTGGCGGACGGACGGTCAGTCGTCGGACACGCTAAATATCAAACGGAACCGTTAAACACCGTTGCACGAAACGACGTGTTTTAACGGACGACGAAAACAATAAACAGTATTCAGAGACGACAGTCGTACGGGCCCCGGCGACGGCCCCCTATCAATCCGCACTATCGGCGATCGGCACGCGATCCGTCTGACGAAAACCGTGAACGCGGCGAACCTTGCGGCGCGAGAGTGCGCGTCTTCGCAAACATCGCGCGGTCGGTCACCGCGCCTGCCTGCGAGACGTCCTTTCCGCCGGATTTTCCCGGTTTCCGAGAAAACCGCGTAAACCTCTGTCCGCGCGGTGCGGGTTGGCAAGGCGCGGGCCTTTCGTCGGCGTACGAATACGCCGGCCGGGTGAGTGTCGGCGATAAGGAGGGACGTGTTTCGAAATCGCGGTTTTCCGACCGCTGCGCCGTATCGTCGGGGCATAAAAAAAATGCATTCCGGGTTAAAAGTTAAAATAATTCGCAGACGTATGATAATAAGCCGTATGCCCCGTACATTACCCGTAGTCGTTACGGCGCCCTCTGACGTTATGATTTGGCGAAGTCTTCGATGTTCGTTTCGACGCCGTCGGCCGTTTTCGCAAAAGTTTTCCGTTATTTACCCATGCGTTTTAAACGGACCGCCGTTCTCGCGGAAACGCGCGTTGCCGTAATCGTTTCTCGTTTCCCGACGAAACGGCCCCGGTACCGTTTGTTTTCATGTTTTTTTTTTTTTCGGTTTGTTTTTTCCCTTCCGCCGCCGCGATACGCGCGCGCGGTTATGCGCCGCCGGTTTTATAACGACACGCCGCAATAATGCAGTGTACACTCGCGCCCGGTAAACGCCGAAAAAACTCGCCCGGGCCCGCAAACGATTTTACGGTCGTTTCGCCGCGCAATCGCGTTACGCAAGTTGTTTGCCGTGATAAACGCCGACACGCACATCACAGGACAACGGCGACGGCGGTAATAACGCCGCCGAAAATATTATCACTATTACTGTTGTTGTCGTTAGCGATTCGTTTCGCCCGGATTGTCGGCGTGCCACGAAAAATACGACGGCGTTCGTCGTTGTTTTTTCATTTTTTTCCATGTCCGACGTCACGTGTTCCCGAACCGATAAAGCTCCGCAATGATAACAGTAACGTAACAACAGCCGTAACCGTAACGAGACGGCCATGCGGTAACCCCCCGGGGGGGCGCGAGGGCACAGGGAGGGGGGAAATACGATCACGTACGCACGCACTCGCGTCTGCGAAACGGTACACGGTATTCCGCGCGGTAATTGTCCGCGGAACGATTGGCGCGTCGACGTGTTTTTTTTTTTATCGCCGAAACACGGTCTTCCGTGCGATCACGGGATTTTCAAATTGCGGAAATTTACGTCGACCCGAACGCGAAATCCCCGGGGAAACGTTTCGCGCGACGCCGCTCGTCGTGCGACGGGTATTTTCGCGCCCCTCTAACAAAACAAAACGCCCGTATTCGTGCGGCGCGACGTGAACCCGTCGTCACGCCGAATGCCCCGAGGCTCCGCGAACCCGCGAGGACGCGACGCCACGACGACGGTCACTGTAAATCGCTCGTGGTTCTGAACCGTTCGCGGCCGGGGGTTTCGCTTTTCGCCGACGGCGCGCCGGCAAGACGGGCCGAGTACCGTGGCCGCGGCCGTGGACTCGCGGTCCCGTTCGCGTCGGAACGCGCCGCGGAATTTTCGTTTTTTATCGATACGCTTCTGACCCGTCGCAATTCTCAGCCGGGATCTCTCGTACTGTACGACAATTAACGCCCACGGTGACAACGATAATAAATACGGTGACGTAGACCGTGAAATCGCCGCGGCTCGCGCGAAACGACGCACGTTTCCTATTTGCATGCGCTCGCGTATTTCAAAGCGGCCGGCGTTTCTCAATCGTCTATGACAAAAAAAAAAAAAAAAAGAAGATATATTTTACAAAGTGTTTACATTATAGTTCAGGAACTGGGTAAATGTGTAAACGTCGGTTTGTCGGAGGTCGATCGGCGGTGTCGTTATAATATATCGTGTTGGACATCGTAGGAACGGAACGTTTCGAGCCAAGTCTGTCGACGCGGCCGGGAATTAGAGAGAGAGAGAGAGAGAGAGAGAAAAGAGAAAAAAACGTACTGCACAGTCGGTATACTACGATAATAATTATTATTATAGGTGTGTTGTTGCAAAATAGTAGAAAACGGACCGACACGTACGATGTAATGTACGAATGATAATATAGTAATAAATAATAATAATAATAAAAAAAAAGTAGCGAATAAATACCTAATAACAATAATAAAAAAAAAAAAAAAAAAAAAACGTAAAACCACTTTGTGTACACCGACCGGTCGGTTAGATAACTCGCGCGCGGCAACAAACGCGGCGGCCCGTTTAGGCGAGCGCGCGCGGTAACGATTTCCTTCGCTCCGGACGATTTGTTTTGTTTGCGCGGACGAAACAAAAACGGCGAAAAAAATGATATAAAAAAAAAAAAATACCCGAAAAACACGCGACGATTGACGTCGCCGTCTTCGGGCGCGCGGCCGGGAACGCCGAGGGAGACGGACGTGCAAACGGGAGGTGACTACAGTTTTGGCCGGCGCCCGTACGCGTTTTCGACCCCGGGATCCACCGAGTACCCCGAGTCGCGTGAACATCGACTGTCCGGTCGGTTTTAACAACGATTAATTGTGCCCCCCCCGAGCGCGGCTCCTCGGGTTTTAAACGACCGTGTCCGTCCGACGGGCCGAACCGGCCGGTCGGTCGGACGCCGCCGTATGCGATCCATCAGCCCGGACAGAACGGCGTACCGCAGACGTGCGCGGACGAGGATTCGCGGATCGTCCGGACGCCGTTGTCCTCCGGGGCGCCGCGTCTGCTACGTGCGTATTCACGTCAATGTTCGCGTGCGGTTACGTTCGCCCGACCGCCGACGCGAAATTCGACGGGCGGCTGACGGAGACGACGGACGGCTTCCCGAGGAGCGCGTTCGGCGCGTCCGGGTACGCGGGTAACGGCTCGGGGAAAATTGCGGGGCAAAAAAGAAGACACGCCCACCGGTCGAAAAACCCGTTATCCTCGCTCGGGCGAACGGAGGAGTGCGGAGGGACTAAAACCGGTGGCGGCGCGCGTGCCGTTCGAGGCGCTTAACCGCCAACGGTGGACGCGCGTCGCGATCTCGCGGTCCTCCGGGCGTATTTTCTCGCGACGACACCGGTGCACTGTTGATGTCCGGGTCCGATTTATTGTTTATCGCGGGTTCGGACTTTTCGTTCGGGGAACGACGCATGTTCGTTCTCGCGCGAATAATTTCACGCGGCCGGACGCGGGTTAAAACGTCTAAAAAAACGATCGCTTCGGCGGAGACCGCTGTTGCGACTCCGTGGACGGCGGTCCCCGCAGCGCACGCGACGGGAGCGGCCGACCGCCGGGGTCGCCGGTTCCCGCCGGATTTCTCGCGAGGACGGAACCGAAATTTCTAGACGCGTGCCACGCGTGCAGCTCGCGCGTTCGTTCGAAACGTACCGCGGGCCTAATGTCCGTAGCCGACGCCCGTCCGGACAAACCGCCGTCGTCGTCGGCCGTAACGCAAACGTTGCGATGATATTTAACGCGGCGCCGTTACCCCCCCTCACAGCCATCGATAAATTCGGAACGGCGTAATCGGGTCGACGTTTAATGCGGACGAACGTACTGCGGGGGCGTAATTGGATTCTAAACTTTCGTGTAC